TAATTTTTGCTGGCCTAGGCGAGCTAATGAAGGAAGTGTCTACTCTAATTGGTTCCTTTTACTCATGTCTCAGATTAGTTGCAATAGGTAAAATTACTTCTTCTTTCATGACACTTCTATAGAAAAGTACTTTATAATTTGTCACATATTGTTTAAGATAGATGGAAGTTGATATGTTGGTAAGATGACTTTTCTATTTTTTAAAAATCATCTGTTAATTCTGTATGTCTGGTTGTCAGTACTTAACACTCCATTTCCTTAACATTGCATGTGACTAATACAATGCCCAGCCATCTCATTATATGAACAAATTTGGGAACAATAAATGTCCCAAATTTTATCTGAACAACTCAGACACAGGGTTTTTTTCGAGTCCTAAGTTATAACCATTTGCCCTTACATTTTGGCATACAGTCTCGGAGCACTCCATTGTTAGAATCTTGAGAATACAATTGCTGTGTTCCCGCTTCTCTCTATAGTTAGTTAAGCAAAACACTTTGTGTTTTTATCCTTCTTGCTGCTGCTCACTATGTGTCTTACATAGCATTGGGAATACTTTTTGGATGGGAATTTTATGGTATTGAGAATCTTTATCGTAGAAAAACCTTAAAATTCTGAATATGCCACCTAGAAAGAAACACTAATCCCTTATGAAGGAGTGGTATATGTTAGAGTCATTTAGAAGTTTTAGTTGTATCAGAATGAAGGGGACCAGGTCCCTGGTGGGACTGGCCAATATAAACACCTTACATAAATATTCTACAGGCAGATTTTACAAACCAGACCTTTTAAAACATCATGAACTGCATCACAAACCCAGCTTTTGTGATTTCCCTCTGTCAAGTTTAACCAACCTTCTTTTGTAGACTTCTGTTCCGTAGTAGGTCTGGCTGTTACGGAGTTAATTTTCTTCATAGCAGCCCATATGGTGCTACGTTTTGGATTTGTGACCAAAACAGTGTTGATAAGACACCAACATTTTAGCCATTGCTGAACAGTGCTTACACAGCATCAAGGCCTTTTCTTTTTCCCACTGTGCCCCCTCAGTGAGTAGGCTGGGGGTGCACAAGAAGCTAGGAGGGGACACAGCCGGGACAGCTGACCTAAACTGACCAGAGATATTCCATGCCATGTAATGTTATGCTCAGTAATAAGAACGGAGGGGAGGTGCGTTTTGGGAAGGTGGCCATTGCTTGAAAACTGGCTGGGCATCGGTGTACACATGGAAGGTGGTGAGTGATTGCCTTTGCATGACTTGATTTGTTTTCTTCTTTCTTTCTTCTTCCCCTTTCCTTTGCTTACTAAACTACCTCAACCCACAAGTTTTCTCGCTTTTGCTCTTCCTATTCTCTCCTCCATCCCATGGAGAGGATAGTGTGAGTGAGTGGCTGTGTGGTGCTTAGCTGACAGCTGGGCTCAACCGATCACATGAGTGTCATTTTTTGTGCCTATTTTTGCTGATGCATTGTTAAGATAACATGGTTATCTAGTTTTAAGGCTCTATATCATACCACATTACCAACACCAAAGAGGAGGAATACATATTGCAAGTGTCATTCTGGCAATGCTAATTGTCTCACTTTGACGTAAAAAAATGCATCAGAGGTATTTGAGCTGTTGGACTGCAGAATGGAACTTTTATTAGCATAGGGATAACCAATTAATTATTCCTGAGCCACCACAGGGTCTAATATGAATGACAGTGGCTTGTGCTGGTATATAGCAGCTCTTGGGTGACTGGAATTCTCAGGTGCAGTAGAAAATAGGAGCCTCCTTAAGCTGACGTAGTTGTATCATTCAGCTGTGTACTTCACCTATCCCGATCTCATCCCATGGTCCAGTTGCTTAATGCCACCTACTGCCTGGAGAGCCAAGGTAAAGGCTGTGAAGTAGATGTTTCAAATAGAGCGTATATTGGAATTTCTTCTCACATTAAGAGCTTTGGTCCTTGACTTGTATAGTAAGGCTACTGCAATATATCTTTGGAAGAAAATTGTATTTGATGGAGAAATTATGAAACTCCTGACATCTCCATCTCTTTTTAGGTCTTCCTTGATTATGCCTCAGTTGCTCCCAATCCCCCAGTTTATTACCTTTTAGAGGAGGAGGAGGAGACCCTTTTAATGTTAAAAATTCATTCTCTAGAGGATTGTTATCTCAATATCTGTTCTTTTACAGCTGCTCTGGCTAAAGGAGGAGAGGGGATGGATGTTCTTCCATTTTTATGTATATATGTTAATTCATTAATCCTCTTTGCATCCATCAGTGAGAAATCTTGGTGTATAAAAGGGCATCATTTGATGTGGAGCAAATTCAGTACTCTTTGATACCGAACACAGTAAGAAGGCCATTGTATGTGGAATAATATAGTCACATACAAACTGAATAATGCAATCACTTAGTGAGTGAGTCTTTTTTGTCCCTTTCTGGATTCAACTTAAAAGATGATCCACATGAAAGTTATTTCAGAAACTTATGTCAGAAATTTTAGTTTAAGTAAACATACTACAGGGAATAGAGGAGAAAGTATAAATATTGAATAGCAATGCATTATTATTGCTATAGCAAAATAAAACTACCAGCAATTCCCTATTTCTTGTCTTAAAATTATGCTGATACTAATTTTTCAATTTAGCAGAGCCCATTCTGTATTCATTTTCCTCTTTTTGAGCACAATATTATGTTACTACATAACGCAAAAATGCCAAAGAACAGTCTTCTAATGAAAAAAACTGAAGATTTTTTATCTGTGCATTAACTAACATCAAAATGAACACTTTAGTATGAATGCTTACTGTAATGTTGACAACATAGGTGAACTATGTTGAGAAAGCCATTGAGGTCTGAAAAAGACCAAAGCCAAGGTCTAAAATGACACCTTGCCATTAAGTTTCTACAGTATTTATTTTCTGTAGTTAGTAACTGAATCCACATAGGTTAGATTTTTTCAATGTCAGCTTTCTCTGAAACAGTGAGTCTGCACGGATCTCACTGATTTGCTGTGTCACAGTCCATTTAAAGCAAAATAGCATAGGTCTGTGACAAAGAAGATGAGAAATGTGTAGGTACTGCAGGATGAAAATAAACACAAATGAATCAAGAAAACAAAAGCATGAAAGGCATATGAAGAAAAATCTAAAACAGTGTTAAAAATTGCAGTGAGCTACCATTCTTTGTCAGGTTTAATTTTTCCCAAATTAAAGTGTCTCCCTGGATGAAATTACAACTTATTCAGTAAAGCTTAGCAGACATTCTTGGTAGAACAATATGTTTATTTTATAAAGAACCCATAATTTTGTCAATTTCTGATATCTTATTTTTTGGGGAAGGATGTTGTTTAAACTTCTGCATATACAGCTCCATTTTATCAGTCTCAGATAAAGCATTAACTACAGTTAGGAATAATACCTGGAATGTCTACATATACAACACAAATGTCATGGAGGATAGGACAGTACATGCCTTGTGAGCATGAAATTTATTTCTGGAATGCTCTCTAACCTGATTTTAAGATGGCAGTATGTGTCCAGTATGACAGCTTGAAATATTAATTGCAGTCTACTGGTAAAAAAATACTCATTTGTAATAGCATCCAGAGACAAGAACTAAAGTGTCACAAGCTCTGTGGTCTCCATATCAAGCATTTAATTTTGTCCAAGGACTTTACTAGTTCTCAAAGCATATTTACAAGATAATTTATACAATACATAAAGTGTTCTAACTGTGAAAAGAAGAAACAATTCCAGAAGTCAGAGTAGAGGATTTGAGAAAATTCTCTTGAAGCATGTAACTTCTGTTCAGTTTTAGGAAATAGTGATAGCTATTTGTCAGAAAGAAGTGCAATTTCTTTATGTATGTACAAAAAACAAAACAAAACAAAAGGCAAAACAACAAAAAACCAACCAACCAAAACCCCAGAAACCCACACACCCCTCACACACTTTGGGGCTTCTGGGATGGGATTCAGCTGGAAATGCAGACACCTAAACATGGGTGTCTGCTTCAGCACTAATGCAGCCTAGCTGTACAGTCAGTGGTACCTACAGGGCTGTTCAGTTCACCCAGAGTGGATATCTACAAGATGGGCATCTTAATCACTCTCTGGGTTGTGCTGACTGCATCAGCAAGGATTCTAGCACCTTTGGTGGGTGCTTAGATGCTTAGCTCATACCATATACAGACACCTACATTTAGGCATCTTAATCTGAACTCTACACCTTGCTATAACATTTTATTAGTTTAATATTCTCACAAACATGCTGGGAGAAACTAGAAGAAGGAAAAAAAACCCTAACCTTTCTTCCATTTTTTTTAACCACACCCAATTTCTCTGACAGTCTGAATATTTCTTAAGGACAATATTCATACTGTATAGTCTTAGTGTCCCTATTGAGTACATTGAGAACAAATTGGTTCCTGACAGATTCCTGGAGGGAGTGACAGAGAACATGGGCCACTTCCGGTGCCAAAGTTTACACAATGTGAATGTCTTTCTTATCCTTTCCTCCCATGAAGGAATCAGTTGATAGAATGCTTTTATTTCTGAGAAGAAAGAAGTTATTCTTAACACTTTTCATGTTTCAGGAACTAATATAGCTGAAGAAGTTTGAAAATAAATGCTGAAGTACTTAAAGTAAAGCCATTTTGGGGGGGTAAGATACCTTTTAAGCCCCTTTGAAGCCAATGTCATTGGTGTAAATGAGTATTCCTGTCACTTATAACGAGGACATAAACATACCGAGTTGAAAATATTCCGCTCCTTTTGAATTCCCCAAATAACCATATTGACTCAATAACTGCTTTTAAATTATAAAACCATTCCTCTTTCCCACTGCCTACATCATTACAAATAGACAAAAAAACAGTGACTGAAAGCACAATTATAAAACTCTTGAGAGGTCTATGGATCAAGTGGAGGTTTAGAACTCGCAATAGTATTGCTTTAGATTTCAGGAAGAAAACTTAGCAATCATTTTAATTAAAAAATATTCTCTACTAGCCAGATGTAGATCAACACATGTAGAATTGTGTTCACAAGCATTGATTATGCAGTCATCGATGTCCTGGTCACATTTCAGTCCTGCATATCCTGGGTTGCACAAACAATAGAAGCCATCGACAACTGTAACAGAGATAGTATTTTAGTACTAGGAGTGTTTTAGAATAACAACTGAATGTAGTAAAATTAAGTAAGTTACAGTTATGACTACTATCTGGAAAAGATTTGGACTGACTTTACCTAAAAGGTGTGGACATGTTAAAAAATTGAAATGAGATAGGGCAGTTAAACATTGTTTGTTTTTTTGGGGTTTTTTTGGTAAAGAATACCTCATATTATACCACTATATTAAAGGAAAACTTGCTTGAGTTGAATTTGGCAGCTCAACCTATGATGTATTTTCATGCTTCATTTTAATCTTAACAAGCTAATGATAAGAATCCTCTCCCTTTTTCATCATTAATGATCCAAACAGAGAGGAATCTTTAGAGTGCTATGTCCATTTAAGGAGCTTGTGACAGCAATAATTGCACTTCTTGCAGGCCTGTATTCATTCTAACCTCAAAGATGTCCCTGGATTCTTCATTATCGCTGAGATTTACCATGGAATCTGTTCTGCCATTGTGTCTGTACACGTAGCTGCTATTGTATTCATTAAATGCTTTAAATCCTTCAGAGCAGGAGCATTATTCATCTGCTAAGGGCTTCCTAGCTTCCTCAGGATTCCAGCTTTCTGCAGCCAGTGCACACAGTGCAGAGGAACAAAGATGTCCACATGATACAACTCAAGTCCAGAGGCACCACAAAGACAAGCTATCCCCAAAAGATCTGGCACTTTGTGAGCAAGAAGAACTTTACTGCAGGTCACCTAAATTCCAATTCAAAAATATTTCTGAACCAATGTAGAGTACATAGATGTTAGGAAATAGACTTTACTAGATAAAATATGAAGCCACTCACCTTATTCCCATATATGGAAAGATAGAATTCTTAAAGCTTATTGAAACTGATTTTTTTTTTTTTTTTTTTTTTTTTTTAAACTAGAAGAGTTTTAGGCCATGATATATTTAGTAATCTGGGGTCATTTCTTTAAGATCTCATCTGAAACCAGTAAGTTGATTAGATCTTCTGCAAATTTGTATAAAAATTTTGAATTTCAGGGAAATTCTCAAGTCATCGTTCTCATTTTAAAAGGCATGTGGGGAAACAGGAGGGAGATGTAGCAGAAGACAAACACAGTTGCTCAGTGCTTAAAGTGTGGGACCTATGAGGAAAAGTTGAGTCAGCCAGGCTTGCTTTGTATTAGTCCCTTCAGGGAAGGGTTAATGGTTTAGAGGGCTATATAACAATAACTTCAAGGACAGTTGTACAAATGACAGAACTGAACTCCTCTTAGTAGTGTTAGATGATATAATAAGGGGTAATGGCCAAAAGTTACAACTTAGGAGATTCAGATAGGATTGGGGGGCAAGAAAACACTACAAGAATAGTGCATCAGTGGAATAGGCTGTCCCAAAGAGTTTGTGAAATTTCTGTCCATCCTTAGAGGCTTTCAAAACTCAGCTAGAAAAAGCCCTGACTGACCTGTTCTAGCACTGTTGATAGTCCAGTTTCATGCAGGTTTGACTATGTGACCTCCAGATGTCATTCTTCTTTCCAGACAGCATTATAAGATTCTCTGAAAATTACCACTTTTACTTTTTTTTACCAAGCATAGAAAGTGTCTGATGGGTGGTAGTAGACCCATAAAACTTTCCAGTAAGTACTCCATACATAATGGGTGCTACTAAACTTAGCCTCTCCACTGCCACTCCAGACAGAATATAGTAGAGTAATTCATCATCAAGTTGCTTCTAAAACCTTTAAGTATATCTATCAGTGAAAGTGTAAGTTACATAGTTACGTGATAGAAGGCGCTTAATAGTAAACAGACACTCCATTTTGCATCAGTTTGATATTTAATGCAGCTTTTGGAGTCGTTAGAAATACGACATGCCTAACTGCTCCATGAGCTCCTTTTCAGCACCTGAATATTCTCTTATCGAATGCACAATGTAAGATGTGTTTGGCTAATTTAGGTATCAAAGGAGACAGCACAAATCTCATTAAAATTTCTCATTAGCTGCAATTCTGACCCCCTGAACGCACAAACCCCAGTGCCAAGCGTTGAGGCATTTTGGCAAAAATAATCCTCCTGGTATTGGCTGTGAAGCTTCAGACAAACTAAATTTCAGTAAATTATCCACTGTTCTCCCCAGAGCAGCTCAGTAGCTACAGACACTTCAACAGAAAGACTACTCTATGTTAAAGTGAGTAACCAGACTGAACTCACTGTCATAGCAGTATCCGTGGAGGCAAGGGTTAGAACTGCACTCATTGACATTGATCTCACAACGTGGACCTGCAAAGCCCTTCACACACTGGCAGTAGAATCCAAGGGGAAAAACATCCAAATTCATTTCTTCTATGCACACAGCTCCATTCTCACAGGGATTGCTGGCCTCACAAGGCCTAAACTCACAGTTCAAACCTGAAAAGGAAAATGGCAAAGCTGTCAGTGTTTAACTAATGAACATATCCCTGCAGCTGCTGCCTATTATGAGCTGTATTTTCTTTATATCCCTGGTTAAAATTGACTCAGAGGGTCTCAGAGGTACATATATGTATATTACCATGCAGAAACATTTATTTGCTTTGTAGAATTACAAACAAAAAAAGACAATTTTATCTGTTTTGTTTATATGACATTGCATTTTAAAATCACAATAGCTATCTCAATATATTTTGTAGTATTTCTGTTTACCCTTGTCCTCTAAAACAGCTCAAAAAGTGTATTTAAAAATAATTAATGATTTTTTTTAAGCTTCCTATTATTTCTTCCTGATATCCTGTTGTCACAGCTACTGTATGAGCTGTTTATACATTAACCCATAATCCTCAACATGAACGAAATGTAAGTAACCTTGTATAATTGTTCTGCTTGCAATTCATGACTACACACAAATTATTTTACTGAAATTATGTATGTATCTAATAATGAATGACTGCCTCCATCGTTTATAAAAATTCCATACAATAGAAAATTGTACAGTCCCTTTCAACTTTCTTAACAAACACTCTAGTGTATAACAGATTATGTATGTTTATCTGGGCTAATCAAGAAACTGTGTGATGGTGATCTTGGGTCACAGATACTCTCATCTAAATCTTTAATTTGCAATAAATAGATTAAAAAAGATTAAAAGGCCCTTTAAAGTGAGTCTTAGTTTAAAGTAAGTCTTAGTTTGTTAGAACATAGGCAAGACTGATTCATGTATTCCAATAGCAAAACACAAAATGATGAGGACAGAGAGAACAGAGATCAAATGAGTTTGGGTTTGTAAAGCTGCCTCCCTTTTCCCTCAGTGTTGCTGAAGGCAAGTCTGCGCTCTCAGGCTTCCTTTCAGACAGAGCTTGGTGGTTTTCAGGGCTGCAACAAACTGTGCACAAGCCCCTCTGAGCCCCTTTGAAGCCCATCTGCCTTTCTGTGACTGCTTTGTGACATAAACACACAAAACCAGGCTGTGTTTATGCTATGCTTTCTGGTGGAGCTGCCCAGGGTTTGCCGTACTCCAGGCCCTCTGCCCACTTCCCCAGTGCCCTTGCCCCAGCTCTGGTTGCCCAGCCATTCCTTCCTGGAGCAGCTTCTCCCTACCCCAACAACCTCCCCTCTTCCTTAGACAGGCTGTAGCTTTAATGCAGTGATGGGCAATGTGACACTACAACATAAAGCACCTGGGTAGTCATGTGGAAAATCAAATCCATACAGTTATGTTGTGGTGGGTTGACCTTGGCTGGCTGCCAGATGCCCACCCAGCCACTCTCTCACTCCCCCTCAACAGGGCGGGTGGAGAAAATAAGATAGAAAACCTTGTGGGTCAAGATAAAGATAGGGACATCACTTACCAATTACTGTCACAGGCAAAACAGGCTCGACTTGAGGAAAACTGATTGAATTAATTGCCAATTAAAAATAGAATAAGATGGTGAGAAACAAACACAAAACTAAGAACACCTTCCTCCATCCCCCTCTTCTTCCCCGGCTCAACTTCACTCTCTCACTCCAGACTCGTCTACCTCCTCCCCACCCCTGAGCAGCACAGGGGGATGGGGAATGGGGGTTGTGGTCAGTCCATAACAGTTCCCCTCTGCCCCTCCTTCCTCCTCACACTTTTCCCCTGCTCCAGTGTGGACCCCCTGTGGGCTACGCTTCCTGCCAGGAGCCTGCTCCACATTAGCCTTCTCTAGAGGCTGCAGGGGAATTTCTGCTCTGGTGCCTGGAGCACCTCCTTCCCCTCCTCTTTTTCTCACCTTGGTGCTCGCAGTGCTGTTTCTCACACTTTTTTCCTCACTTCTCACTGCCTGTGTCATGTTTTTGCCCTTTCTTACACACGCTTCCCCTGAGGTGCCACCACCTTGGCTGCTGGGCTCAGCCGTGCCCTGCGGTGGGTCAGTTGGAGCTGGCTGGAGCCGGCTGTGTCCGGCTCGGGGCAGCCCCGGCCTCTCCTCACAGAGGCCGCCCTGCAGCCTGCAGCCCCCCCTGCCAGCACCTGGGCACCTGTACCCGCTACACGAGGTAAGCAATGTTCATGAGATGGATAATAGTACTGAGAATTTTCAATTTATTTTCAGGCTGAAAATTTCAGACAAGAATTCCTGACAAAGAATCAACCAGTGTTACAGGTCACCTATAGTATATGGCAGCTTTAAGTTTGTAGACCAGTTGCTAACTAACAGAACTGGCAATTCATACAGGTTTTTTGGATATAATTTTGGGGAAACCGAATCAGTTAAGTGATTAGCTTATTCTGGAGGAATATATTGAATATTTTATTATGGTTTCAGAAGAACAAGACTTTAACTACAGCATAGTGGTTGAGATCAAGCTACAGTGCCACTTAGTGCCTTTCTGTGACTTTTTGAAAGCTTAAAATTCCTTAAATTTGTAGGATATGGTGAAAGGATGAAAAACACTCATTGGATAACTTAAATATTAAGGTGTCCATGAGACTGAATGTTATTTAACTTTAATTTGGGAAATGTACTTTTATATTTACTAAGATACGTTGTCAAGTAAAATGATTTGGGCTCTGCTATAAAAGAGGATGGTCAGATGCACAGTTATTATACACTTAGTGTTGGCTGCAGTCAGATGAACCTGTGTATTTCCTCCTTTGCTTGTACTGTCATTATAGACAAAATTTTGTTGGCTTATTCCACATTAGCTGCCTTCCTTTGTTTTATTGTTAATCACATAGTAACTGTTAATCACATAGTAGCACGCTGGGTATGAACAGGCTTTCTTCATAATAATGAAACACGCACTATCCAAGATGTCAGCAGGATTTTAGGTGAGCTGTTTCCTTACTGTAAGACAGAGTCATCTAAGGGCTGAATTCTTAAGGCTTCTAATAGCAAAAGCAACAAGTAGGAACAGAATTGAGGTAAAAAAAAAACAACAACCCTTTGACCCCAGTAGTCACGCTGAGAAAGGAGAAAAAGAATGGCACAGGTTGTTCCCTGTCTTTATGTCACCAGTGGTGTCTCTGGTGCAGGATGATCCTGCCATAGGCAGCTGACACTCTCAGATCTAGAACTCATGAAATTGCATAGCAAAAGCAGCCATATGGCACATTGAGATTTTGCCCTGAAGTTTTCATCTTTATATCACAACAGCTTGACATGGGTGACAACCCTGTTTATTCCTAAAGTGGAGTTCACACCCACACGAATAAGCTTAACACATGGCTCACGATCATAAGTGGAACTGTCAGATGATCCAGTAATGCAGTACTTGTTTTTATTCTGTGTTGATGGAAGAACCTTTAAACAGATTTGCCCATCCTCTTACATGCCAAGTGTTTGTGGGGGTAGATATTTCTGGTAGATAAAGCAAAAGTCATGCCACAGTGCATCAGTTTTCCCCTACTGTAGCATTATTGTCCAACACTAGATACTGCCACTTTTTGGATGAGAGCATAACAGAGTTTTGGTGAACAACTGGAAAATAAAGAGGCAATAAGAAGCAGTGAGGACATATGTCCTGAAGGCCATGGGTTTATATGATTTACAAATATTTGTCCAGTATAAATAGGACTGTGCACAGTTCTGTCATATGAATGCTAATGAACTTTAAGTTTTTAATATCATGTGGCAAAGTTTCATGAGTTAGCTATATATTTCAGAAAAGTATTACCTCTTTTTTTTTTTTTAACTCTCAATATACTCCCAGACCCCTGGCTTCTATGTACAATTTTTATTTCAGACATTTTGCTCTGCTGATTCAATAGCATATCGTGTTTCTTCTGTCTTTTCTTTCTACACTGTGTGTAGAAAATTGTATCATTGACCAAAGAGTAACTGAACAACTTTTGTCTGGTCACAGTCCCTCCAAAAAACAGTGATCTTCAAAGAACTATGTATAAAAATGTATTTTTCTTATTCAGAAATTCATAATTTATTTTAAGCTTCAGCTGAAGATGATTCTTACTATCTCAGACACAATTTCTGAGAAGATTTTTGGAAATATTTGAAATGTAAAAGGTTCAATGTGAACAGATTTAGAAAGGAAGGTATCGGGATAACCTGCACTTTCAAGTTCTTTTGTTGCTTTCATAAATTTTAGCACCTATTGACATTTATCACTTCAAGTCCAGTAAGTGATGATAAGGTTTTGGTGGGTTTTTTATGAACGCTTGGATAGGTGTCTTTCACTGTGTGCTCTGAGAAAAGGAGCCTGAATGTGTCTTCTCTATTAGCTCATATTAAATAAGTGTCAGGCTGCTGTTAGGTCCCCCTGAAACTCTCTTCTCCAGGATGAACAAGCCCAGCTCCCCCACTGGTGGAAAAACAGCATGAAAGAGGCATTGAGTATCTCAGACTTTTCCATGTCCTTTGTCAATACAGCAATGTGATCTCATTTTTCTCCATCTTTCTTTGTTACTGGTAGACCTATAGAAATCTTTCTTCTTGTCCTTTAGTTGCCTTAATAGTTTTAGCTCCAGTTGCCCTTTAGCTTTCCTAATTCTGTTCCTGTGTGACTGGGTGCCTTCTGGATAGGTAGTTCACCATTGCATCTACCTTCTGGGCACTTCCTTTTCTCTTTAAGCTCAGTCAGTCCTCCATTTGTCCATTTTTCTGCCACATCTGCTTGAGTTCCTGCACATTAGAAAGAACTGTGCTTCGAGGACACTGTCCTTCAAGATAAATCAGTGGGCCCAAGATAAATCAGTTTTCCTTTCAGTGCAGTCTCTAATGGGAGCTTGTGAAGCAGATCCCTGAGCAAACCGAAGCCAGCTCACTGAAGTCCAGAATCATTATTCTGCTACTTGAATTTCTCGTTTCTCTTAGGACTATAAACTCCATCTTCTCACTGCCATTGTTGCAAAAGCTGTTTTTGACCTGTACATCCCAAACCACCTCATACTTATTCACGAATAGAGAATCCAGATAAGTACCTCCCCTAGTTGTCTCACCCCACAATTGTTTCAA